TTCAGGGTTTATAAGGAGCAGGGATGGGACCCACGCATTATTATCTGCCCGTAAACGCAGCTGCTGGTTTAACTGGGTCCCTAAGGTTAGAAGGGACTTAACTCACAAAAATGTGGAATAGCCTCAAGTGTCTTGTCTCCGTCCTAAAAAATCGCACCTGGAATTTAAAGAGGTACTAAAAACATAAGTATTTGACATGAACTTTAAGGAAGAAATGGATCGTTTGGTGCCTCCTGCATTATATGCCCAAGGCACGTTACGTTAATCTCAGTTAATACAACCAGACCAGTGGAGTAGGCATTTTTATCCTTCCATATGAGGCAAGTGATGAAAGACAGGTTCTGAGAAACATCCTAGATTGCATGTGATCTTAGAAAATGGCAAAGTCTGGATGGAAAACTGATACCTCAAGGTCGAGAGTTCAAGTGTGTCCCCAGTGACGTCAAGCATCACATGGGGCACCGTAGATCACCATGTTTTCCAAGCATTAACAACGTGACAGCTTAAGCATTGGGTAACTCTTCCTGTATGCACTGAGGTGGGTAAGCGCTCTGAATTTGAGTTTCAAAGATTTGGGGGCTGGAACATGTTCTGCCTCTCACCATGGAAATACTTGAGTATTTCCTATTGCTCTGATTTTTTTTTTTTTTTCATTGAGGGTAAAACAGGAATAATATTACAGATACTTCCTACCTTGTAGGAGTGTTGGAGGATCAGCTGAGGTATTACATGGGGCTCTGGTATAGAAAATACCAAATCTAAACCAAACACAAGCCTCATCACCCACCCTCTGGAAACAGGCTGGTCCAGTGCCTCACACCCTTTCAGCACAACTTCTGGGGTCCTCTCAATGGAGATGACTTTCAGGTTCATTCTCAAAGCCCATTCCCACATTGCCTCCTAACAACACTTTTGATGTTTCTGTGAATAGGCTTTGCATAGAGTTACTGAGCCGCTTGTAGAGTATGGAAAAAATGCATTCAGCACACAGGTTTAAACACATTCCTAAGTTGACCAAACAATCTATCATCCCAACTGGGACATTTTTTGAGTGTTATTAATAATGATGCTGGGGCAATGCGTGTAAACAAGGACCGTCCCAGGCGAGGAAGAGGAATGATCACTCCACATATACCCCCTCCTAAAACTATACTGCTTCATCTTCCATGCACCAATATATTTTAGGAATTATACCCTGATTTAAAAAAAACAAAAAAAAGACAGATGCAGTTGGATTGTTTGTGTGTACTGGAAGTGTTATTTTGATAAATGTAAAAATGTTAAATATGCCACAAAATGTCTAAACCTGTTTTATTTTTTGCATGCCAATTAAATTTTTTTTTTTTTTATGACAATTCTGGGAATAGTCTAGAATTCTCTGATCCTCGGAGAAGCTCTTTCCACAGCCCTTGATGTGATCTTATAGAGCAAGATCAGTGCAGTTCTGTCCATGCAGCAGAAACTCTCTTGACACTCTCAACCCAGTGTCTCCTCAAATTCAATATAGGTAAAACCAAATTCCCCCTAAGACAGGTGCATCTTCCCTTGACTGGACTAAGGACATTAGGTGGTTCCACCATCTTTGGGTGGAGATATCACAGTGTGATGCTTTGCAACTCTTGAAGCTACACAAGAAGCAGAGAGAGAAGAGATGTAAATGAGAGTCAGGGCCAGAACCCCTGTTTCGTGGCACTTCCAACAGCCTCTGTAGCCTCTGGATTTCTCACACTGTATGGGGCAGGTTGCACAAGCTGCAATGTCAAAGAGAACTCCAGGAACAGGGCAGAGAGCCAGGCACCTGAGCCCAGGGTTGGCAGAGTGGAAGTAGCTTCTGGGGAAGGGAAGGTGACAAGGACACATGCTGGTTCTCCATCTGACACGTACCTGCAGCACCATCTGTAACACTTACTCTGAGCCGGGAAGTCCCATGGCCTCTGGGAGAAATGAGAGCCCTCTGCTGTAACTGCACAGACCCTGAGAAGACTCTGGAAGAGCAGTCACCATTCCTGGTTCATCAAACCCTACTGGGCCAAAGACGCCTTATGAGAATCCTCCAGCCGGCTCTGATCCCTTTGTATGTGTAGTAAACCTCCCAAATAACTGCCTCTTTTGCCTTGTTGAATGAATCACTTCACACACACACACACACACACACACACACACACACACATACTTACACGCATACATACGCACTCCACGTATAATGTTTCCACACCTTGAAGCTTGAGTTTCACAATATCATAAGACCCCCTTTGGCATAGAATACACGCCTTCGTGGAAAGAAAGTCACTAACAATCATCCAAATTATAATTGGCACTATAAGGAAAATGTAATAAGGTAGCCTGAGATGTGATGTGAGGAGCCCCGCAGAGTCCCATGAGGTCATGAGATGTTGCCCAAGGTTGTAGGTGATGATGTCTCTGAGGACCGTTGTGGGAGTGGGGCACACAGAGGTTCCTGGATGCCCTGATGCCCTTGACCAGCCTCTCAAGTCACTAAGTAGAGTCCCTCATCTGTCTGGTCTACCTGTGCTGCTGAAATCCATGGTGGGAGTGGATCTGTTACAACCCACGATGGAGCTTTGCTGGATCCTCACATCACTGAGCCGCCATGACCACCACCCAGGTGACTACCTGAAGAACGGAGAAACTTCTGTTTGTCCAAGCTACTGCCTTTACGGTCTCTTTGTTACCACAGCTTAAGCGGCATCTACTTAATACAGTTGCTCCACACATATTTTCATCTTTCTTCTTTAAAATATGACCTTATTATCCCATTTACACATCAGAAAACTGAATTTCAGGGCACCTGGGTGGCTCAGCTATTAAGCCTCTGCCTTTGGCTCGGGTCATGATCCTGGGGTCCTGGGATCGAGCCCCGCATTGGGCTCCCTGCTCGGCGGGAAGCCTGCTTCTCCCTCTCCCACTCTCCCTGCTTGTGTTCCCTCTCTCGTTGTGTCTCTCTCTGTCAAATAAATAAATAAAATCTTAAAAAAAAAAAGAAAGAAAACTGAGCTTCAAAAGGCTAAGTTGCATTCTTAATTCTTAAAACTATTACATAGAATAGTCAATGTTTAAATACCCTTTTTTTGACAAGCTTATATTTGGAAATTTTGCTTAAACAATTGGATATTTGTTCTTAAAAATAAATAAATATTTCTAATAATTATTGAAAATCATTTTGGTTTCTCAAAAAGACAGAAAAAAGTAGCCTGATTCAGCGTTCATTGTTAAGTTTCCAAACTGCCATGAAATTAGGAAATAAAAATAAGTAATTTATTATGTGTAGAGGGGCATATCATAAAATAACTTATATTATCTTTAAATGTGGGTTATTGCAAAATGAGGATGAGGACCATAGAGAATCACAATGTTGATGGCCTTGTCTGACAAATAAATTATCTAAAGAAAATTCTAAGAAAACTCTATGGCCAAATATGCATTTTCTCCAAAACTAAAATATTTCCTTCTCACAGACTTTAAACTTCTTAAGTAGAGAATCCCTGTCAGATTGCCTTTTTATCTACAGAACTCCTCACACATTTCTGAGCATAGAATCAATGCTTAAAATACACTTATTTGCTTAACTTATACAATATCCCACTCCCAGTTATAGCCTCTGAGAATAAAAATTATTTGCATAGTGTTTTACAATTTATAGATCACTTTTATAAATGACATTTTCAGGTACAATTACTATGATTATCTCTCATATAAACTATAGAAGCTAGAGCTAAAAAAAAAACCTGTAAAGTTTCCCTAGTAGACATGGCTTTTAAAAATTGTGTCTTGGGGAGACTGTGTGGCTCAGTGGTTAAGTGTCTGCCTTTGGCTCAGGTCATGATCCCAGAGTCCTGGGATCAAGTCCTGCATAGGGCTCCCTGCTCAGCAGGAAGTCTGATTCTCCCTCTCCCTCTGCTCCTCCCCCTGCTCATGTTCACATGCGTTCTCTCTCTCTCCCTCTCTCTTTCTCACATGCTCTCTCTCTGTCTTTCAAATAAATAAATAAAATCATTTTAAAAAATTGTGTCCTGATAAGTCAACATGCATCATTTGACTCCAGATCCTACCATCTCACTTGTATGCGATGAAGACTTTTTTGAATGGATGGATACATCAATCCATCAATCAATGAAACATTGGAAAATGAGCAGTAAAATCATGTTGTAAAGCAACCAACTAACTGACGATCAGTCCCAAGGTTATTATTTATGTGTTCTTTATTATTATTATTATTATTATTATATTTTTCAAACAAGAATGAGGCAGATAAAAAGCAAACACAAAATGAACAAAAAAGATATTCCACCAAAACAGTAGTCACATCGTCATCAAGGGATATGTGTGTATCTTTGCACTCAGAAAAGTTCAGAAGTGCTTGCTTCATGAAAAGGGCTCACAAAGAGCTACATAGTTTGGCATCATAGTCCAGTGGTTCCTTGTTGGCGATGGCCATTGTCATAAGGCTGAATTTAACTTTAGAAGTATCGCATGCCATCTGGCTCCAAAGAGCAAATCTATTTTTATAATATCAAATTTGCAATAAGGGAAAACAACACACATGCTTGGAGTTGGATGAGCTTCCATTTTTAACATGACTGACTTTCATTCATCTTCCTGGGTGCCCCCGAACTGGGTGGGCTCTTTTTCTCTGCTCCAGGCCTTATCTCCGTTAAAGTTGTATGATTAGGATCCCCAAGTCACTGAACAAACAAGGTAGGATTCTCCATAACAGACCTTTTGTTCACATACATTTCACTGGCTTTCATTGGAGAAGTCAGAGAGTGGCTATCATCTCTCCACACTAATAATATCCTTCAGTAAATGATAAAGTCAAGTCCAAAGTAAACCGAGAAGCTTTATCAGCATGTCAAAGCTATCCCCTTACAGCTCTGTACTTGCCAACTGTGCATCCTCTTCCTAGACACAGACTCAATGCACATTAAAAGGCACTTAGCAGAGTGGGTGTTTGTTTGCCAAAGGAGAGCAGGCTGCCTTCTGATTCCAGCCACCCTGGTTGTCACTCTCATCAGAGGAAGAGAGGTATACTTTACAGCTAGACTCCTTCCTTGATGATCTCTTGACTCGAGTCTGGGGGAAATTCAGAGCTTCCTGCCAAGTTATTCTTTCTCTTTCTCCTTGTTAATATTAACTGATGGACTTCTCGGAGGGAGAGTGTATTTCTTACTGTGAAGTGAGAGAACACTGTGGTCGACCAGTTACTCTTCCACCCTGTTGTCAGAGAAGATGAGTCAAAAGGGATTTACACACCCAGTTAATCCTAACAGATGGCCCTTCCCCTGTATTCTGAGAGAAGTTGAAAATCAATCCCCATCCTCTCCAATTCCAAATTAGGCAAATTAGCACACTGGCCTTGATTGTTGGTAAGCAGATTTAGCAAAATGGACACAGTGAAAAAGAGGAAAGATTTAAAAAATTTCGAAAGGCCTTAATCACACCTCATTTCAAATTCTACCCCCACACCCCAAGCTCTGACATGCAAATGATGCTTATCTATAAAGGAGTGAAAGCAGTAATATTTTTCCTTTCTCTTGCCTTTCCTTCCTGTGTGTGTGTGTGTGTGTGACCTATCACTGTAGCTGTAAACATGAATATGCTTGTACAATTTGTGTAAGTGACTATCTAAATATATCAAGTGTATATATTGTGAATACACCATACACCCACAAGATATGTGGGTTTGTGCTGTCAATAAGAGGAACAATGGAAGCTGCTTACTTTGAGAAATGGCAGTATGTTGTAGGTTTTCTTGGCTTTCTTCCCCCCCCCTCAACAATTGTAGACAAATATTCCATGGGGATTGGCTGGCTGAGGGAAGGTGTGATGGGGTATGAAGGCTTTCATCATAAAATCCCCATATAAAAATCCTGTCAAGATTGATAGGGCCTGAAGTGTCTATAACACTGTTGCTGTGTTGGTTTCATTCCAAACACAGCATGCTTCTGAATGATCTGTCATTACCATCAGACCTGAAGAAAAGAAAAGCTAAAGAGAGAAATATCTCATTGCCACCTATAGGCTGCACGGGGAAGGTCCAGGTACAGCCACAAAGCTCAGGGAAGCAGCAAAAAGGAAAGGGTGTCCCCAGGTCCTCATGTGTGGATTCGCATTCACCCTGCCTTGGCCCTTCTTTCAAACATCATTCTCATGCCAACATTTGGTATAGGCATGATGGAAGATACTAAGGTGGAAGGGAAATGTCTTCCTCCTGTAAGACAGCATGGTCAGATCCCTGGCCCAAGCTGGGCCAAAGGGTATCTTTCCTATGTGAGCTTCTTCACTGTAGCAGAGAATAACTGGGAGCTGAGTTAGTTAATTCTAGGACTCAAGAGGAAAGGTCCCAAAGCTGTTGGAGGACCTCAGCACTGATGGGTTTCCACGCATTCTGAGGCCACTGGATTCTGTCTTTTCATGACAACTTCCATGTCCTCCCAATGAAGATCTTTTTTTTTTTAATAAGATAGCTCCAGTTATTTTCTGCTGATTACAAACCAAATAAACCACTCACACAGTTTCATTTTTAATATTTTATTATTCTTAATTAGTATAAACCTTCTTGGTGATTTTTCTCTTAACAGATAATGATCTATTCCCAAGGGGGAGGGGGGAATGCTCCATTTATTTTCAGAGCAAGTGCATGAGAGACCAGCAAACATGCAGCTCAAAGTTCCCTGAGGAAAGGGATTGTGTCGTACATATTTTTGGTATTGTACTCATGCAATTCCCCAGAGTAGTAACTCACTAGTTATTCCCATCACTTAACAACCCACCAAATAAAAGGCTCAATGTTTTCATTAAAATCACATCACTCAGGAACCTACTGGAAGGGAGATCCAAATACCAAAATCCTACTTAAGAATTAAAGAAATGTAGCTGTTTCTATGTTCAGTTCTACTTATATGGAGCTGACTGCATCTGTTTCATTAATGTGAAGATGATCAGTTGCATTTTGCATCTACTTACCAACTAAGAGGGAATTCTGAGCAGCCATATTTATCATTGCTAAGATCTCCATAAAGCAGCCTTGTCATTAGAGATAGCCTGTAATCAAAAAAGACATTCAGTAGCTCTCACTGTGACCCAGTATTGCAAATGAAAAGGTTTGCCCATCAGTATGATTCCTTCTGCCCTCCTACCTTCCCTCTTCCTGAGCCACCATCTGGGTAGGGATGCATGAAGGCATTGCCAAAAATAACTTCATCAAGCAATCGGTGTCCCTATATGACAGCACCCCAAGATAAAGCTGTTACCTCGGGGTAGTGACAAGATCAGCATAAAAGGGTCTTCTAGACTTTAGATTTAGTACAGATAGCGATCTGATGGTTGGGTTTGGTATGGCTTTTATTCCATTCAAAGACATTTTAAGCCATTCAAAGACATCTTAACCTCTGCTGTCCAATGAACCTCTGTGATTGGGAAGAGTGAACAGTGAATGACTTTCAGTGTCCAAGAGCCTCAGATAAAGCACTTGGAAAGACTTTGCTTAGTAGGCAACTATAAAACAGTTCAAGACAAAATGCAAGTCTCCACTCTGCGATCTCGCCAAGGAGCAAAATATAACTAGCTATCATCCACTAGAACTATTAATTCTATCGTCTCAGTTTTGAAAAGGGTTCGGTTCTGAACCCCCTTTCTCGCTATCCGATAGAGCAGGAGATACGTGGAGCTGAGGTTGTCGAGAGCCCAGACTGCAGAATTCTGTCTGGCCATCTGAGTTACTCAGAAAGCCCCGAGCACCCTCCTTTTCACTGTATTATAATAAGACAAATTATTCTGGTGTCACAGACTGAATACCTACTAACCTTGATAAGCACGTACATCTAAACAAAAAGAGAATCAATTTGCATTTTCCTTTCTGCTGGCTAACATAATGCTTCATTTTACAGTTTGCCATTAAGGGCTATTGCTATCTTTACATACCATATTAGGCAGTTTGTGTCCGTTGTTCGCACATAGTTCCATCAGAATGTTTCAGGTTGAAGGCATTTTCACAATGATGGTGCTTTTGTCCTGCCCGACTCTATTACCTTGAAGGTGTTTATCCCAACAGGTCTCTTCAAGACCTGAAAACTGTCCTCTGTGAGAGCATGTCAGTCATCATCTTCCTTCACAATCAGAATTAACAATGCTCAAGGTCTCAGTGAAAGTGCGTACATATACACAGACACACACTCACGACTTACCTGGGTTGGCAGATAGGTAAAGCCACAGAGCTTCTTGAATTGACCTTAATGAATTGAAACCTGCACAGACTCGAGAAATCCCTTGAACAAGAATTCTAAGAAGAATGCTAAACCATTTCACTGGGCTGACAAGAGCTTCAGACCAAACCACGCCTGGCCTTTGAATTAGTATTTTCTCCTCTGATCTATGGCCTCTTAATTTTCTGGGGCAGAGGAAACAAACCACAGGCATTCATTAAGCAAACATCTGTGTATGGGAAGAAATGAGACGCGAACTCATTCTGGAAACCACAAACACTGGAGTTAGAATAATTGAGGAATGGCCACTGTCAGGTAGCGTAACACAATTATTATAGATGTAACCTTTGGGGAAGAAAAGCCCGAAAGTCTTAACCTAGAAAGACAGATGCACTCAGTGAAAAAGAATGATCACCAAAGACCCATTTTACAATGAAAAAGCATAGAAGTTGTGGCTGCACAACACCATTCCAACAGTGACAAATAGCTTGGTCAGAGATCAAAAATTAAAGCATAAAATATTGATATTTTAAAACTGAGTTTTCATAATAAAAGAAAAAAAACACACAAAAGAGCCATTTTCTCCCAGTATGTTTGGCAACCATATTTTAATGTACAGTCAGCTATTCTTCATTTGATATTAGTTCTGTAAATCCTTTCATGTCCTGATTACATTTTAAATCAATAAAGAATAGGTCTGGAATATTTTTTACATTTGTGAAAAGTCTGAATCTCAAATGCCAACTACTTAATCTCTTCATTACATATGAATCCCATTTTGTCGTGAAGAAACTATGTTCTAAGATCCTAATGGACAGGTAAAGTACCTTTAAATTTTGTCCGGGCCTTGTGTGAAGTAGCTAATGATGATGGAAGAGAGGCTGATAAATAAAAATAAGAGAAGCCCTGGCAGAATTATCGATCCTTGGAATACATAGGCATCCTCTGAAGAGTTTAAAATATAGTAACACTCCACTCAGAAACTTCTACTTTCGGTGGAGTCCAGGGAAAGAGAAGAAAACACAGATTTATAAGACAAGGAGGTATGGACTCTGTGCTGGTGTCTGGAGTAAGCCCCAGGGAAGAAATAGAGAAGAAGGCCTTCCACCTGCACTGGGGAAGTTTACAATCCAGAGTGGAGTTTGACAAGAAAGCAATCAAAACACCCAGCGTGCAGGAAGTGCTGGATTCCCCTGTGCAGGACTGAGAATCATTTCAATATTACCATCTCCATAATCCTCATGATCTTCCTATGAACCTGGTGCTATCATCAGCTCACATCAGGACATTTTGGGACACTGGGAGGTTACGTGAGAGTCAGGTAGGAAGTCTAGGCATGGAACCTCATGGAACTCTTAGCTCTCCAACATCAGGGAGAGTTGTAATTCTCCATGGCATTTCCCCAGGAGTGTTGAGTCCGTGGCTATTTTGAAGTCCCTCCTAGAGGAATGCAAAGCTGCTTACTTTAATTTGCACTTGCTCCCACACCCAACCCCAGCTTCACAATGCCCACCAAAAAGCTGGAGGAATATTTATGGGATTGAATAAACCCCAATTCAAAAAATCCGAAGACCAAGCCGCTGTCATTCAAATGTTCTCAACATCCACAGCACACCGTCCTACTACAAGGCCAAAGGAAAATTTAATGAAGAAGGTGGGGAAAACATTTACTCTGGTAAAATGGGAGTGATTTTTTTTTCCAGAAATATACTTTTAATGATGACTGGAAGCTCCACCAGAAGGATTTTAAAATAAATGTCGAAACCAATCAAAAACTGGATAGGGGTGAATATTTGTATTATCCCAAGACTTTTCCTTCTACAAAAGGGCTCTCTGCAGAGTACTTCCAAATGGTAAACTCTCCCTGTGCATTTAAATGGTGTTTACAGATCATTAACTACTCACAAAAAGGCTGGTGCAGAAAAACTGCCTAAGTATGAGAATCTCTCATTATTTAACCAAAATTTAAGGGAAGGATGCCTGAAAGATGGAATTCAGTTTGCCAGAAATTAATTTTCATAATGAATTTTGGAACATGTCTATGTCAGTAAGTCATTCTTACATAAGATTTCTTCCTTGCATGCAAACAGAATCCAACTTCTAAGAATATTTTATTTATTTTTTTTATTTAGCACATTTTTTTAATTGAAGTATTGTTGACACACAATGTTACACTAGTTTTCAGGTGTACAACATAGTGATTCGACAAAGTCTATACGTTATGTTGTGTTCACAAGTGTAGCTACCATCTGTCACCATGCAAAGCTATTACAATACCATTGACTATATTCTCTAAGCTGTATCTTTTATCCCCTTGATTTATTCATTCCATTACTGGAAACTTGGTCTTCCCACTCCCCTTCACCCATTTTGCCCATCCCTCTTCCCTCTGGTAACCATCAGTTTGTTAATGGTAAAGTATTTGAGCATTATATAAAAATATTAAAATTTGCCAAACTACGACCCAAGTGTTGGTATTTATGTGGTTGTCAAGGTTTTTTTAATTCACTGAACAATAGTATTAATATCCAGGTGCAAAGAATTTTGTCCAGGTTTCTGCGAGATTCTTTAGTGTTGACTTGTAAAAGTAGAATTAATGGCTCCAACACACACGATTTTTAATGTTCCCATTTTAAATGATTCAAGTACTTTTCAGAAAAATAGTTCCAACATCTGTTCCCTTTACCACAATGGTTTTATTATTGAATCTTCACCAGGAGTAAGTATGAACATTTTAAGAATGGCTCCCAATGTTTTAGTTGGAAATATTACTTCTTGTTATTTATTTGAAAATAGGCTAACTACAAATTAAGTTGAACACTCATTATTTTAATTAACAATTTGCATTTCTTCCTGTAAACTGCTTCATCCTTGCAGTATTTTCCTGCTGTGAATCTCAGTACTTTTCTTATTGATTTGTATGAGCTCTTCACATATTAAGAATAACACTTTTCATATCAGTTACAATTTTTTTTTTCTAGTTAGGTGTTTACACCTTAATTTTGTTGGCAGGATTTTTAGTGTGTGCTTTTGATTTTTTTTTTCAATTTTGACTTAGAATATCCTTTCCCAAGAAACTACACTAAAAATTTACATGAAAAACTCATTTATGTTTTCATCAATTGTTTTCAATGTTTTTAAAAAAATTCCATTACCAGCTGGGTGAGTAGGATCACTTTCCTAATCTCTCTAAAAGCATTTTCTCTTTCACAGTATGAAAATTATAACTATTTTGCTCAGTTCTAGACATTCTATGAAATGACAGCTGAAGGCTCTCTGTCCTCAGAGGTGGATAAAAATAAAAATTTGATACTATTTATTACTAGTGCTGATGAATCTGACAGGCCAAAAAGTTCCAACATATCTTGGCCACGCCAAGCAACACAAAATGCATCTTTAATAGCTTTCGACAATGTCAAAGTCAGCATTTGGCTTTGGCCAAATGTAAAATAACTGAATTTTATAGGCTCATCTTTGAACCGAATTTCATGATGACCTTTTACCCTCATGGTTCTTTTTTTCTTTTTCCTCTTCAAAACCCTTCTCCACAAAATGTGTAATAAGAGGCTAATGTGTCTCTGAGATGAACAGAATCTTTGAAACTCTTTGCACTATGATCCTGGGAAAAGGTTTTCTCCCTCAGAGCCACGGCCCTCGCCCCCACCTCACTGCCCCAGTTTAATATGGCTTTGGACTGCCTTCTCATATCCCCAGCTCCTATATGAATCATTTTCAGCACTGAGTTCTGATCATTATATACAAGGTCACTTTTTAATTAGAACAATATAGTAAAACATATGCTCAGAAGATAAATGAGGTACAAAGCTAGTTGTGCTACAGTGAACCCTTTTATTGGAAAGCCCTTAAAAATAATAAGCATCATGTATAGTCCAGGGGCCTTTGCAACATATTTCAGGACAGCAAAGTGCCTGCCATAGTGAATGAATATCCTGTTAGAGTGAACAATCATTTGGCAGCATAGGTTATTTTAATGGACACATCACTTTAAACGAAGCTTTCACCATCTGTTCTGCCCTCTAATTACAGATGCAAAAAGAACATAATTCACAATTGCATCATAAAAAAGTAAGATATAAGTGATTTAAATGCATGTGTATCTTCCTTATTCAATGCAGCATGCAGCTGTTATGTTGTTTTCATGTTTCAAACACAAATGAGGCTGGAAATCGCTCTTCTCTGATGGAGTGAATTCCCTGATACGGGACATTTTGGGGTGTGAATAAATGCAAAAGGGTGCGCTTCCATACCGGCTTCACATCAGACGGGAGGTGAAGCTGTTCTGTAACGTACTCTGTGATCTGTTAACCATGTGTGATGGAGTGCATGTTTGCGGTAAAATCTAATTTTCAGTTGATTATTATTAGCTTTTCACATCTCAAAGGCTGCTCAGGTAAGTGTACTTCCGTAATAACCAACCAGTGTAGGTAGATGTGTTATAACAAAGAAACCCTCTTTCACAATCACATGAGCACACTGTACCCTACTAGCAAAGAGACGACTCTTGGCCTAAGCCCATATATATATACACACATATATGAAATGAATCCTTTCTGATCTCCCAAGACTAACTCTCTGGAGTTTAAAGCAGAAAGATGGAGCTCCTTCCCTTTCCCCTAATGTCTCAAAAATACTTCAAGACTCCCCTGTGGACTTACAAGTTAATGATTACTCATTTGGGAAAGGATATCTTAATATGCCAGTTTCAAGGTGAACTGAATCGCTCATTGAGAATCTGTATAAAGTCCACTGTTACTTAATACCAACACAATCACGAAGTAGCCAGAATACAATTTTGCTTCTTAAAGAAACTTTGTTAAATTCATTCTAGATATGCTCAATTTGT